TGATGGACTGGTGGGACCCCTGAGACCATGACCCTTAGTCACCTTTCAAGCTTGAACTCTTTCCCCTGTGATAGTTAAGTTTGTGTGTCAACTTGGCTGGGGTGTGGTTTTGAGTGGCTTGGCAGCTGCATGTAGTTACTCCCCATGATGAGTGGGGTTCAGTGAATTACTTGGTATGGTTCTTCTAGCCAAAGTCTTTGTAACTCCCACTGTATTACTGGGTGGGACCATGCAAATAAGGTGTGTAGAACTCTGATGCTGAAATTGGTTAGTTTTGTCACTCTGCCAGTGTGGTGTTTAAGTTTATGTCAACTTGGCTGGGCCTGGCTGAGTGGCTGGGCAGCTGGTGGTAGTTCCTCCCCATGATGAGACTGGCAATCAACTCCATGGTGGGATCTACCACAAGCAGCTGAGTAGCTGCTTTAGGGATGTGGTCTGCTTCCTGTATATAAGAAACAGCTTTGGGAATGGTCTCTAGCTTATGGCACACTTGAACCCTGCGTGTAGCTGTGTCATTGTTCAGCAGCCTGCCATGCTCTGCCGACCTTGGGACTTTCTTTTTTGTGGTATATTCTTTTTTTTTTGGGGGGGGGGGTGTTGAAAATTTAAAGAGCAAAATCACTTTCCATACAGCAGCTTACATATACTTTGTCTCATGACATTGACCACAATTTACCCCAATGCAACAGCTCCCCTCCCACTTCCTCCCGATAGTTACCTCTTCCCTGTGTCCATCCCTCCATGCACTCCTGCCCCCTGTGCTGTCTCCCTGTGCATAAGCAGCCCTTCTTTCTCCCATGATTGTTCTTTCCAAGGAGTGTATCTACCTCAGGTAAATGTTCAAGTCATATGCTTGTCTTTTGTATGGCTGGAAGCCACAAGTGTGGGTTCAATTCCAGACCTGCAGGGCAGCTAGGGGCCATAATCTCAGTGGTTCCACCAGGCTCTATCAGACCAGCAAACCTGGTCCCTGACCTTGGGACTTTCTCTGGACTTGAATTAATGCCCTGCTGTGTGGTTTGGTAACATCAGTACTGTGCCATTTTATTTGTTGACCTTGGATCTGTCAGCCTCAGCAGCCAGCAGCTGTCTGAGTGAAGAGATGCCTCCAGCTTCAGTGGGCCGGGAGCAGGAGGCAGAGCTGAAGCCCACAGTCGAGGGGCTTTCACACAGCCCCCAGAGCTGGCACTTTGAACTCGGACTTCTAGCCTCCCGAAATGTGAGAGAATAAACTCCTGTTTGCGCAAGCCATCCCATCTGTGGTGCATTCCTGTCAGAGCAGCACTAGGGAACCAGAACAGCCAGGCTGAAAATAAGCCTTCTTAGGGACCGAAAGAGGATCTCACCGCCATCAAGACAGAAGAGCTGGAGGTGAAGTAGCATGTGCCCTTGGACCCGAGATCCCTGCACTGCACTGCACCTCCATGGCAGAGACGCCCACCAGAGAGAAGGTGGCAGAGGAGCCAAGAGGCAGGAGACAGAGTGGTGGGCTTGTGGGCCTCTGGGGCGAGAAAGCTGAGTGCCTTTGGGCGGAGGCTTGCTGACAGAGGGGTGTGCACACAGGCGCACTGTCGGCCGAGCTAAAGAGCTTTACACCTGCCAAGCAGGGCAGAGGCCAGGCCGAGAGGCCAAGGGCCAGAGAGGCGTGTCTGAGGGCACAGCAGAGGGGAGACTGTCCTGATCGAAGAACTGTATCCTGAGTGTGTTCCTGAACGTGAACTGTAGCCCGTTACTTCCCTAATAAACCCCATCATCATGAGTATTGTCTGTGAGTTCTGTGTGGCCATTGCAATGCATTATCGAACCCAGGAGAGTAGTGAGTGCCATGGGGGGACAGCTGGTGTGAGAACCGGTAAAAGGCTGGAGGTGGTGGCATGTCTGGCTTCAGAGGAGTCGGCCTCGGGCTGCTGATGGTGATTCTGTCTTCCTCTGGTGAAGTTACAAGAAGTCAGAAGATGCCACTTCCAGGCCTTTTGAATTAGACTGTGATCCCCTCGCGGTGGAATCTGCTGGAAACACCTGAGCGGTTGCCCTGAGGGTGTGAAGGCAGGACCTTTGGGGAAGCTTTGGTACATCTGGATCCTACATTTGGCCGAATCTTTGTCTCCAGGTCCTGGACTTGAACCCGTGGCCGGCCATGCTGCCTACTGATCTTGTGACTGTACCATTTTACCTGCTGACCTTGGGTCTGTCAGCCTCAGCGGCCAGCAGCTGCCTGAGTTAGGAGATGCCTCCAGCTCCTGTGGGCCGGGAGCAAGAGGCAGAGCTGAAGCCTAAGGTCGAGGGGCCTTCACCCAGCCCCTAGAGCTGGCATTCTGAATTTGGACTTCCAGCCTCCTAAAGTGTAAGACGATAAATTCCTGTTTGTTAAAGTCATCCACTTGTGGTGTTTCTGTTATAGCAGTTCTAGGGAACCAAGACACCCCCTCAGCTCAGCTTTCAGCCAAATGATAGGTCTGTAAGGTGTACAGTAACACCAGGGAGGTGCTTGCTCCTTAGAACAATCAACAATACAAGGTCAGAAGGGCAGCGTCTGCCCAGGGATGAAGCTCAGGAAGGAATAGGAAAGCAGGATGGAATGAAGTCCGTAAACACAGGGAGGAAGCAGGCGAAGTGCGGTGACACTGTGGGGACTGCAGGCAGCGTCATGAATCAGAATGCGTATGGACTGCTGAATGGAGAGTCAATTTGCTCTGTAAACTTTCACCAAGTCACAATTAAAAATAAAATTCTTAAAAAAAAAAAAAGGTTTCAGCCTAGGAAACCCTCTGGAGCAGTTCTAGTCTGTCTCACGGTCACCATGAGTGCAAAGCCACCTAATGGCAATGGCACCTAACAACTGCAACTGTGACCCTCAGTTTGCCCAGCAGTAAAATGGACATATTTGCTGCCACACTGTGAGGTCCCAATAATGCCCTGTGAAAATGGAATTGGGCCTTACCCATCTCAGAGCCCCATCACATCCAAGGACCGGGCACCAAGGTATGTTCAAAAGCGCCTCCTGGGTCTGCCCTACACTCAGCCCTGCTCCCTGGGGTCTGTCCTGCACACAGTGGGACAGGCGGAGTAGAGCAGCAACTGATTGGTAGGGGCTGCCTAAGGATGCAGCATAGTCTGGCTGCTCTGGGCACTCTGTGACTATTAGTGATGTCTGCCAAGGATTCAGGAAGGATTGGGGAGGGTTTGAGTGCTGCTGTTTTGGGTGTTCCTTGCTCTGGACCAGGTTCTGCAGTGTGAGGCACGTCTCCCACGTCCCTCTGTCCAGAATGTGTCTCCTGCCACAGCAGGGAACCTGTATGAAGTAGAGTGGGGCAGAGCAGAGGCCCAAGTTGCCCAGAGGTGCCTGGGTGACACAGATGGGGAGGACAGTGGCTGAACCCTTTCCTGTGGCCGGGTCCTGGAGGTGACAAGGGGGTTGCTCAAAGCCTTTGGGGCACTGCTGGTCACACCTCGCCCCCAAGCCCTGGGCCGGCGCACCGTGTCATCCGATGGGTCCCTGGGTGTCCTTGAGCAGGACAGGAACATGAGAATAGAGCTGCAGGCGGCTGGAGAACATGTTCTGGGGACCCTGCAGCGTTGCTCCTCCCCTCAGCACTGCTGACACGTGGGGCTGTCCCACACACTGCAGGTTACTGAGCAGCATCCCTGAATCCCCCCCCTCCCTGCCAGTAGCACGCCCCCACGAGTTGTGACACCTACAAATGTCCCCAGACCTTGTACTAGGAGGGGGAGGTCCATCCTCGGGTGGCTGCCCTGGCTTCCGTCAGCAGCCGTTTCGCTTCCTGCATCAGCGTTCCTTTCTGGAAGATGGCACCACTGAGTCCCTCTTGTGGGAGGTGAGGCAGACAGGGGCAAACCATGGGGTGGCAAGGGTGGGCACCACTGGTAAAGGTTTCTGGGTGCAGCGGCCCTTTCGTTGTGATAGACACACTGTGTTCACGTGAGAGGGTAACAGTGGGGACCCTGGGCACAGGCTCTATGGAACGCTGTGTGATCTCTGCAACTTCCCTGGGAACCTATGATTACTCCAAAATAGAAAATGTATTAAGAAAACATGCACACTGGCTAGTCAACCAGTTACATGAAAATCCAACAAGGTTTCCCCCACCCACCTGGAAGTGTCATCGGTGAGAAGAGACGGAAACGTTCCCATGTGAGATGCGGTGTTTGGTGTGGGAGCCAGTGGGGCAGGGCCCTCCCCCTGGTCCAGGATGGCATGGTACATGTCTGGGTGTGGCCTGCCTGGCCTACACTGACCAGCACTGTGGCTGTGGAGTGACTGTTTCTGGCCCAGCTGTCACCTTCATGTGTGGGAAACAGGGACACAGAGTAGCTGCTTGGTGGCTAACACGAGTCATGGCTGAGGACTTAGGATTGCTGGGCACCCCCAGACGGGGGTGAGGCCCCCACAGGCAAGGGAGGGAGTGCCCACCATGGGGGTGTCTGACCCATAACCCTCCCTCTCCTACCTCTTGGTCCCAGTGCTCAGTCTCCCAGCAACGCTGGGTCCCTGTGTGTCCCACACAGAGACTGGGTGTCATGAGAGGTGGGCGGTTAACATGTCCCTCGTGTTTGCCTCCTAGGGGGGTGACACTCAGCATGAGGGGGCGTTAGGGTGGCCCAGGATGTGCGAGGGGTTGGATGGGGCTCTCCATCTCCTGGTGAGCGTGGCACACCAGCCCCTTTGGCATCCAGCCTGCTCCCGTTCCGTCCCTTGCCCTGTCTAGGGCCGGGAGGCCTTGCTAGAGATCCTGGTTCCTGGCCCGCGCTGGCTGAGGGGCATGGGGCAGGGCCTGGTCTCTATGAGAAGGGGCCAGTCAACTGTCATGGGGGAGGACCCTGGGTCACCGCCCCGAGGCAGGCTTGGGGTATATCCATTTCACAGAGCAGGAGACCGAGGCCAGCAAGAGGAGCAGCCTTCAGCCCTGATGGTGGCCCCTGGGGAAGGCACCAGTGTCACTAAGACTCCCTTTGTCTGGGTCAGCAATGGCCCGGGGCCGTCACCGCCGGTAGCGGTAGCGCTTGAAGTGGAACCAGAGCTGGAAGATGCCGTTGGCGAACTGGCAGCGGAAGCCATGGCGGTGGGAATACTCCCACTCGCGGTTGACGATCTTGAAGGCGATGTCCTCGTAGGGCGGCCCTGCGTGGAAGCGCAGGATGGCGAAGTCCCTGTTGTCAGCGCAGGCCTCCAGGAAGTACTCGGGCGTGGCGCGCTTGTCGATGAGGTCAGGGTAGAAGATGTTGAACTTGTAGCCCTGCACGATCTTGGGCGGCGGGTTGTCGAAGTCGTAGTGCGTCTGGTTGTACTTGTTCCACTCGAAGCCCGTGTGCACGCGGTTGAAGAAGCGGGGCTTGCGCGGCCGGTACTTGTCGGCCCACAGGTAGGCCTTGCCTGTCAGTGGCATCTCCACGCTGAACTGCGCCTCGTCCTGCCCCATGCCCTCCTTGGCCCGCCGGAAGAAGATGTCCTCGGCGCTCTCGCTGGCATCACCTGCAGGCAGGGCGGGCAGGTGGGAGGGGTCAGCTGGGCTGTCCCTTCCAGAAGCGAACCCGAGGCACACAGTGGTCAGAGCAGGCTGCCTGGGCCACCCCGGCCTCAGCCATCTAGCCTGTGGTGGGACGGGGAGCCTGAGGAGAAAAGGCTGGGGCCGGGGAGCACGGGGTCCTGCATCTGGGCCTGGCCCACTGGGGCCCTGGATGGAGCCTTCCAGGGTCCAGCTCTCAGCTGTGCCCTGGTCAGAGGGGATGCGGCGCTCACAGGGGAGGGGCTGCCGCGCACCTGTGACCTGGAGCTGCTGCCTTGACAGGAGCAGGCGCTGCAGGTCCTCGTGGGGCTCCAGCACGTGGGCGTCCAGGGGCAGCTCGTGCGCGGTGAGCAGCCGAGGGCTGTAGCGCCCGGCGTCGTAGTCGGCCAGGCTCTGCTGGATCAGGTCCTCCTCCATGAGCACGGCCTCGCCCTCCGCCTCGGGTGCCGCGCCCTCAGCCTCCGCCGGGCCGCCCTCCGCAGAAGGGCCCGGAGGGCTGGGGGCCGTGGCCGGCTCCTCAGGCTCCAGGCTGCAGGGTGGCAACAAACTCAGCTGCAGGGAGGCCCCGTGGGCCGGGGTGGGCACAGCTCCAGCCCGGAAAGGGTGAGGGGGGCTCCCTGTGGCGTGGGGAGGCCAGGGGATAGGTCTGGGGATGGCGGGGGTTGGGCAGGGGAGGGGCCTACCTACGGCCGGGAGACGGTGGCTCCGTCTTGAGGATGGGGAAGAGGGGCTCGCTCTCCACGCCCTGCTCCTGCTTCAGCTTGTACAGCTTCTGCCGCAGGACGTCCTGGTGCCGCTCACGGAGCCTGGGACGGGGAGCCGGGTGGTCAGCAATGGCTGAGGGCCCAATGTGACCAAGGGACATGAGGCCTCAAATACCCAAGACTGCCCAGGGTGAGGAGTGATGAGTCTCGGAGCCAGGTTCACATGTGATGTGACTTGCAGCCACGGTCTGGGGCAGCTCAGGAACACAGGCAGGGCTCCCCTCAGTGGGACTGTCTCAGTGGAGGCAGGTCAGGGCGTCTCAGGTGGGAGTGCTCTAGGCAGGGTGTCCTAAGGTTCTGGGTGGGGTTGTCCAAGCCTCCCAGCAGGGCTCTGCAGGCGGTGGGGGTGCCAGACTGGAGCATTACAGTGACACTGGGGAGAGCAGCTTGAGGAGACGCTGTGTTTACACGGCGGTGCCAAGTATGCTGAGAACATGTATACAATTCCCACAAGGGGCGGGCAGAGGCGCCTGGCGGGGACACTGGCCTTGTGCGTTTCCTGTGAGCCTGATGACTGAGGGAGATGAAGCCCTGTGCTCCTTTGGAGACAGAATGACCAACAGTGTGGGGCCCTGCGGTCAAGGACCCTGGGAAGCACCGCAGGCTACTGACTCCCACCGCCCGGTCTCTGTGGCTCTGAAAGGCCACTCAGGGGCCTCTCTTCTGGGTCACCTGACCTGGGCTGGGCAACACAGGAGAGGTGAAGTGGGGCATGGGGACAGTCTAGACACCTAAAAGCCTGGCCCAAGGGGGAGGTGTGCCAGGCCCACTCACTCACCTGCCTACTGGCCACCCACCAGTCCAAGCACCTAGACGCCTATTCACCTGCTTGCTCAAGGGCAAGCCCGTCCCCCTGGGGTGCACCTGCCCACCTCCCAGCAACCCGCTCACCTGGCGCGTGCCATGTGTGCCCGCAGCTGCTGCAGCAGACTCTCCCAGTAGCCCATGTCCAGGTTGGGGCCGCCAGCGTGGATCTTGCCCTCGATGCCCTGAAAGATGACCTGTAGCTGGCTGTACGTCTTCCCCTTGAAGACTGACTGCACGTCTGAGCTCACAGAGGCGTTGACACCCTCACGGCGCTCGCCTGCGGGGAGGGACCCACTCAGCATGGCTAGGATGGCAGCCCTGGGCCCACTCCCCTGCTAGGCTGTGTCCCCCACTGCCTTCACACCCTCAGAAGCACCACCCCCCTAGGGGCCCTGAAGCAGGGACCGGTAGCCTTGTTCTGGGAATGCCCTGTGGACCCGGCTGAGATGCTGTTGCCTACTCAGGCGTGGCCAGGTCGTGCAAGTGTGGCTCTCTGGCCCAGCAGGGCGGGCTAGATCCTGCACGCCCAGCCACTCCTGGCGAGTTGGGCACACAGCTCCAGAACCGCAGCACCCAAGGCCAAGTTCCCAGCAGCTGAGCCTGCACCCCTGCCCCTTCACATCTCATGCGACCTCAACCACTCTGGGGGAGCACTCGGCAGCTGGACTCTGAACTTAGACCTGTCTCCGCTGGCCCTTCTGTGTGGCCCCGGGCAGGTGGCTTGCCCCCTCTGAGCCCACACACTGAGTGCATCAACATGGGAGGGAGAATGGGCACGTTTCTGGGCAAAGCTATTGCTGCTGCCCTCCCCTTGTCTCTCAATCCTCTGAGCTGTCCTCACTGCATTTGAGACCACAGGCCCCCTCTCTGCCTCTTGTCTTGTCAGCTGTCACACACTGGAGTCTAAGGACTGTTCTCTGACCTCCTCAGCCCAAGGGCTTATCACCCACTCCCAAAGCCCTACACACCCCAGGGCCTTGGCACGTGCTGCGCTTGGAGCCAGCAGCAGACACGTCCCCTCCCGACCCGTATCTGTCCCCACCAGCCCTGGGTATTCAGCAGGAACTTCACTTACACCATGAAGCCTTCCCTGACCCCTACTGTCAAGACTTCCTCTGGCCCTGGATGCCTGGTTTGTGACCTCCTGAGTGAACGACTGTGTGAAAACTCCACTGCTGATTCCTGCCCCTGGCTAGGCCCATGGGGGCCCAGAACACGTGTGTGTGGGGGGGGCAGGCCATACTCCCTGTTCTCCAATCTCTGCCTGTGGGCCAAGACCCAAAGGGCCCATGCCCATCCCCCAGCTGGTCCGGCACGGCTGAAGGACCCTGGTCCCCTCCGGCCCATCAGCCCAGGCCTGGGAATGAGGACCCCAAAATGCAGCCATGAGCAGGGCTGGGCTCTGCAGCACCCTGGCTACGACCTGTAAGTGTGATCAAGGAAGCGAGACTGGGCGCCTCCTGCCTCTCCGCCCTGTCGCCTCACGCAGACGTGCCTCCTCCTTGTGGAGGAGCCGGTTAAAGGAAGGTGGTTTCGCTCTGTAAGAGTGAAGACTGGGGGCCACCCGGAGCTCTAGCAACCTGGGCTCCTTAAACCCTGGAGGGCCCGTGCAGTTGGTCCTGAAGGGACAGCGCCCTCTACCAGCGCAGTGATTCAAGAGCGCTGCACAGGGGGCGAGGCTCCCGCCCAGGGGAGGGGCTAATGCAGCAACTCCAGCAGGTACATGGAAGTTACTACTCGTGCTGCCGCTGACGTCACCATAGAGCCCTGAGACGGCACGGACGGGCAAGCACTCAAGTTCTAGCCAAAAAACCAGCAGTCTGAACCCACCCCGAGAAGCTTTGAAAGGCAGGCCTGGTGACCTGCTCCCGAAAGGTCGCAGCCCTGAAAATCGTATGGGACAGTTCGGCTCTGTGCACATGGGACCGCCCGGGGCTGGAGTCGTCTCCATGCTGTTCACAAGCATTTCCACTACAGTAATGTTACAGTGCTAGCCTTCAGTGTGGCGGGTGCTGCTTCAAGTGCTTTAGAGCTCTGTACCAACTTCATCTTCCCACAGCCTACCAGGTACACAAGTACGTTATCCGTATACGAACAGGACAACTGGGCTCCGGGGAGGCCCCATGACCCACCAAGGTCACTAGGCTGGTCACCGGCCTGGAGGGGAGCCCGCCCAGCAGGCTGCGGAACCCTCACTCCTGACCATCACACCACATGACTTGTGGGAGATGGGAGCAGGTCACCGCGGGGATAAACAGAAATGAAACTGAATTTAAAAAATGAAGGTTGTGGCCCTTCTTCCTAAAAGGAAGGAAACTATCCCGACCACCCTGCCTGAGCTGCAGTCTTCCCAGGATGCCGGGGGAGGGGACTGTGGTGGCAGGGATGCCCGAGAGCAGTGGGAAGGTGGAGGACGGGGGCACAGAGCCCAGAGGAGTTGGCAGGTAGTGGCGGCCCTGGCATCGAGTAGGCAGAGGCCGGACACGCTGCTCAGCACCCTGCAGTGCCCAGGGTGGCCCCCCGAGAACGATCCGCGCCCACGTTGGCAGGGCCGAGGGGGAGGTGCTGCTCCAGAGCCAGCTCCCCTCACGGCCGCTCGTGTGTCGCCACTTTCAGAAACAGAGAATTTCAAAAGAGCTGCAGGCCGACAAGGCCCGAGGACCAGCTGGGAGCTGCCTCCTGATGCCGGTGAGAGACAGCACACCCTCTCAGAGGAAGCTGTGGGTGGGGCCGTGGAGACAGGTGGGGACACTGAGTGCGGAGCCAGGTCATGCACTGTGTCTAGGGCCTCCAGATGTCTGCTGCTTCAGACCCAGTGACCCTCAACACTCCCTGCCTCTCACAGCACTGAGCATGCACGTGGGCGTTTCCGGGCCCCCAGGTCACCTGGTCCCTTGCCCGAGGCCTCCAGTTTCCTGAGTTTTGAGATCTCGTCCTCAGTGATGATGGTCATGTCCCGCCAGAAGTCCGCATTCTTGCCCTGCTCCAGTTCCATGTACACCTGGTGGTGTGGGGAGGGGTGAGGTGAGGCCACGTTCTGGGGCGGGGCCTGAGGGCGGGGCGGGGCGGGGCGGGGCAGTCCCCTCAGACAGGCACCTGGATGTCCTCCAGCAAATCCTCCATGTCGGCCACCGTGAGCCCGTTGAGGAAAGTATAGGGCTCATGCATCTCCACGGCCAGGTCATCGTCCTCAGCACTGATGTACTTGGCCAGCAGGTCGATGGGCTTGGCCCGCCCATCCCGGATACGGATCTTAGAGCTGGTTGCAGGAGGAGATAAGGAGGGTGTCAAACTCAGGGCACATTCCTCCCCACTAAAGACCGGGCTCTGCCTCAGAGATGACCACACAAAGCACTGAGGGACCAGACCAGCGTAGGGCTAGTTAGCGAAGGCTTCCCGGAAGAGGGGAGGAGTCTCGAGCGGTGCTCCGAGGGCGTGGAGGACCACAGGCCCGTGCTCACCCCGCCCACCTGCGTCCCAGCCCCCAGGCCGCACCGTAGCTTGGCCTGCTGCAGGTGGAAGTTGTCCTCCTGCTCCTCCCACGTCTTGAAGTGCTCCGCCTCCTTCTCCCGCTGCAGCATCTCCAGCTCCTGCTCCCGCATGGCCTTCTCCCGCTCGCGCTCCAGACGCAGCTGCTTCACCTGGGGGTGACCCACTGGCCTCAGCACTGGGGCTCCAACCCTCGGCCAGCCAGAGGCCTGCCCTGCCTGACCTGGACACAAGCATGGCCTCAAGGCTCCAGACAAAACCGTGAGGGCAGGAGGGTTCCTTTAGGCTAGGAATGCGGTAGCCCAGAGCTGCCACCAGAAGGGGGTGTCTGAGGGTACAGCCCAGAGCCGAGAGGTGCTAGGAACAGCTTCCTGAACATGCTCTCTGACCGCCTGGATCCAGCCAAGCCTGAAACCATCCCTGCCTGGACTTCCTTGTTCCCTAAGCCAATCTAGGCCTGCTCTGGCTCGAGCCAGGGTATGAACTGACCTCGGGGCCTCCTGCCCCACGAAGGGTGGGCCAGGCCACGCACCTTCTGGAGCTCCAGCCGGTTGTCCTCCTGGATCCTCTTGTTCCTCTCCTTCAGCTCCTTCTCCTCCAGGTGGCCGATCCCCTTCTTTTCCAGGGCCTGGGAGGACATGCCACTGAGTCCCAGGCCCAGGGTACTCTGGGCAGTAAGGGCTCAGCAGAGCCCCCAGAAGCCCCCCTCTCTGTCCCCGTCACACAGCAGGCTGTCCTCTCCCCCGACCAGGGAGACTTGACTCACTGACCTACAAGGGTGACCAAGCTGTACAGGTGCGGACAGCTCACTCAGAAGTGACCCGCCCACGATGTCCAGCCTCACCTTACTCCCACTAGGAGACACTGCCCCCTGAACACCCCTAGTGTCAATAATACAATCCCACCCCTGGCTGTCCCTGGGGAGCACACATGGCAAGCATGCTCGGCTGCCAACCACAAAGTTGGATGTCTGAGTCCACCCAGAGGCACCTTGGAAGAAAGGCCTCGTGATCTGCTACAGACCAGCCACTGAGAGCCCTCTGGAGCTCAGCTTGTTACTGAGACAGCATGTGGCCACTGACAAGAGGAGACTCTCCCCTAAAGCCAACAGCCTGAATGCAGAACCTCAACTTCCAAAACTGTGAGATGGTCAGCTCCTGTTATCTGAAGGCATACCGTGGTGTCGTTTGTTACAGCAGTACTAGACGAGGCAGTGCCGGGCCAGCTGACCCCACCCAGACCTGTTGCACTGAGGGCCCACAGAAGCCCTCACTATATGGTGGGCCCCCAGCTTGGCCTGGCTCTGTCCCTTAGGCCCCATGATAACACCGGAAAGGCTTAGCTCATTGGTGGAACACCTGAACACAGCAAGCCTGTCCACCTGACACACATTTACTGAGTGCCTACTGTGTGCCAGACCCTGGGGACAGTTTGCCCCATGGAGCTCACAGTCTCATAGGAAAAACAGACAGTAAATGGTCACAATGCTGTCTCAGTTATCAACTGGGAGACGTGCTCAGGTGTCACCTTTGCCATCCTGGACCTGTTTATTCTAAATTGCAGCCAGCACCACACTCACCACCCACCCTCATTTCCTTGCTGGCTTCCTTTCCCTGGGGACAGCCCACCTTCCCGACAAGGCTGGCCCCACAGGGGCAGGAGCCACTGTCTGCCTGCTAATAGTGCCCAGGGCTGTAGCAGCCAGTGCAAGCACAAAGCACCAGTCTGTCAGATCCTGTGGTCGGAGCAGGAAGCAGGGCTTTGACAAAGAACCCTGGGGTACCTGCATGACCAGAGGTGGCCAGGAAGGCCTCTCTAAAGAGGGCGTGTGCCAGTTGAGACCTGAAGGGCTAACGGGAAGAGGTGGGGAAGAGTTCTGGGCAGAGAGAACGGTTACGGCAAAGGCCCTGCGGTAGGACACTGTCAGGCGTGTTGGAAGAAAGGATCGGATAAGTGAGTGAGCCGACGTGTCTACGGCCAGCTCAGCCGCCCACCCCTTCCCGTGCTGGGCCCCAGCTTCACCTTGCTCCAGATAAAGGTGCCCAGAAGGTTGTTGTCGCCGAAAGGGTTGTCCGTGTTGGTGTAGCCCATGTACTCCTCACCCCAGCCCATCTTCTCTCGCTTCTTCCTCTCCTTGGCCTCCTTCTTGGCCAGTCGCCGGGCACGCTTCTCCTCCGGCGTCTCGAAGGCCTTCATCAGCTCCTCCTGTTGCTTCCGCTCCTCCCGCAGCCGCAGCCGCTCCTGCAGGCTCTGCTGGTGGCTCAGGGCCGCTGCCGCTGCCGCCTGTCGAGGGCTTGGGGAGTGGTCCTGGGATGTGGGGCTTGATGCTGAAGAGCCTGGGGACCAGGAATGCGTCCGCTGGTGCCGAGCCCACCTGCCCCGCTGCCGGTCGTCCCCCGAGTCAGACTGGGAGGATGGGTCCCGGGACTGCCAGTGGGGTGCCGGGCTCTGGCTTTTCCTCCCTTGCTGCTGCCATCGCCTTTCCTCAGCATCCAACCTACAGAGACAAGTGCAAAAGTCTGCTTGGTGCCTTGTGGGCAAGCAACTGTTTACTGAGTGCCTGAGGTGTGTGGAACAGTGGTCACCTGCCTTCCGGAGGCTCACCATCTGGGAACCTATCAGAACACAAAACACAGCAACAAATAAAATAAAATGTAGTATCAGAAAGTGTCCACAAAGAATACCAATGTAGCCAGAAGGCACAGAGCATGGGAGGGTTGCTGCAGTTCAGGGAACAGAGAAGTCAGGCAGGGTCTCCCTGAAAAGGTGACAGGGGCAGAGACCTGGAGGAAGTGGGCAGGAACCAGGGGAGATCCGAAAGGAAGAGAGTTCTAGACAGAGGGTACAGTCAGTGCAAAGGCCCTGGGGCAGGACCAAACGTGGTAAGTTGGAGGAACAGCAGGGAGGCCCAGTGGACTGTGGGCTGAGACTCTGGCCCCAGTCAACTGTGAATCTTGCCACTTATCAACTCTCTTTCCTGCTGACAACTTACCTCCAGATGTTGTTGACCCTACCTCCAAAATCCCTCTCAAATCTACACATTTTCTATCTCTCTCTGGTCAAGACCGCTATGATCTGTTTCTAAGATAACAGTACCATTCTCCTCCCTGGTACCACTGCCCGCTTGGCTCTCTGAGCGCCTTCTCCAGAGAAAGCCACAACAAATCTTGCAGAAGCTGGCCAAATCATATCACTGCTCTGTTTCCCTCCGAATAACGACCAAACGCTTCACCACCGTACACCGACTCCACTCAATCTAGCCCCCGTTACCTTTCCGATTTCATCTCTTACTCCCCTTCCTCTCGTTCACTCCGAACCTCGTTGCTGTTCCTCGCCTCACGGGGCCTCCGCACATATTAGTAGCCTTGTGGGAACGCGTCTCACTTTTGTTTCTCGGACGTCACCTTCTTCGGGGAGCTCCGCCCTGACTAACTCGGGAATCTCCCAGCTCGCAGGGATCTCCACCCGTAGCTCCCCAAAGGCAAAAGGCGATCCTCACCTGTGCTCCCGGCTCCGCCGCCTCCGCCTGCGGCGCCCTTCGTCGTCCCGGCGCCGCCGGTTTCGCTGCCCATGGCTCCCGCTCCGACTTCTGCTCCGGCTCCTACTATTGCTCCAGTTCCGCTGCCTTCGGCTCCCGCGACCCCCGGAACGCGAGCGAGATCTTGTGTCCCGACCCATCGGCTGAGACGGTGGCGGCAGCTGGGACGCAAACATCCGCGCCCTGTGCTGGGGGCCTTCCTCGTACGCGGCGCGCTCGAGGATGCCCCTCCTATGCCTAAGCCGAGAGAGCGGAACCTGTCTCACTGTCCCAATCCGCAGAGAGGCTAAACCGCGTACTCTCCCCTTTAGCAGCAATCGTGCCCTGCGGGATGGACGCCAGCCGGACTGTCGCCTTCACGTCGGGAGAAGAATCCTTCAGGCAGTGCTGAAGGCAGCTCCAGGCGGGTGCTTATGCCGTTCGGGCCCTGGGGAGTTGTGGGCGGAGCAAAGGCAAACCAGGAACTGTGAATAGGGGCGGGGCCTGGGGTGATGGAATCCCGGAAAATGGTCTGGAAACCCAGGCCCAGGGAAGGAGGAAACAGTGAAGCGGGGTCTGGGGGAGGAGCGACCTGCGAAGCGGGACTAAGAGGCAGGTGGGGCTGGTGTGGGACGGGTATAAGGAGGTAGGACCAAGACAAAGCAGTTCGAGTGTGGGCGGGGCCGAAGCGATGGAATAAAAGGGAGGGCCTTGACGAGGACCCAAGGGGCGGAGCCTAGGTAGGCGTGGCCTAGAAGGCGGAACCAGGGTTCCTGGAGTTTTGATAGGTTGGCCCCTGGAGGACGGCGCTAGATAGGCCTGTCTGGTAAGGTGAAGCCTTTGTAGGCGGGACTAGGCGCTGAGTCCCAGCGGGAGGATTCCGAAGGCGGGGCCAGGGGCGAGCCAAAGAAGTGGAGCCAGTGTGGAGGGTGGAGTCCCAGCCAGCGGGACCTTAGAGGCGTGGCCGGGGGAGGCGTGTCTTGGAAGTTGCAGATGGCTAAACCAGGGAGGCCGACTCCACGGCAAACAACAACAACAACAACAACAACAACAACAACAAACCAGGGAGGTGGGAGCTCTGGTAGCATAGTGGCTAAGGCACTTGACTGCTAACCAGAACCACCAGCCACTCCTCGGAAGGAAGAGGGGGCAATCTACTTCCGTAGTGATACTGCCTCGGAAACCCACGGAGGGGTCGCTATGAGTCAGGTCCGACTCACAGCATATAACAACAAGCAGCAGCAGCAGCCAGGGAGGAAGGCGAGAGGATGCTGATGTAACCTATATGGTCTTGATCTTGTTGCCCACCACCTTCTTCAGTGGGCATCAGTGTTTCAGACTCTGGGTTAAGCTTGTTTTACATGGCTATGTCCTTGAATTCCCTCCAAAAACTGGAAACACCACCACCCAGCTGCCACTGAGTCCATGGGGTGCGACTCCTGGCCACCCCACGAATGTCAAGTCGCACTGTGCTCCACAGGGTCATCAGTGGCTGTGCCCTTTGCGAGCAGATGGCCAAGCCTTCCTTCCCAGGTGCCTCTGGGTGGATTCTAACCCCCAGCCTTTACAGCTAGTAGTTGAGCGTGCTTAACCATTTGCCCCCATCCAGGGACTAAGGCACCTGACTGCTCACCAGAAGGCTGGCGGTTCAAACCCACCAGCCGCTCCTCAGAAGGAAGGCTGGGCAATCCTACTTCCGTAGTGATACTGCCTCGGAAACCCAAGGAGGGGTCGCTCAGGCCGACTCGATGGCAAACAACAACAACAGGCCCCCCCCCAAGAGGTCCACACGTTCAACTTGGGCAAATCTGGCAGAGCCAGTAAAACGACGGGGAGTGTTCGCTCCTTTGGGCTCAACTACCTAACCCTAAAGTCAAAAAGCCTTTTCTTCAGTTTTCTGAGCTGACCTGGAACCCCAAGGCAGCCTCAGCTATTAACGTGCTTGGGTCCTCTTATAATTTTAAAACTCTTTTGAGATTTTTCTGCTCCTAGCATTTAGTTCAAAATCAGTCCTCCAACCCTCAACCAGCTCGAGCGCCTCAAAGACAGGCAGTCAGGCAGATGCCGGATTACCCAATTTATTCAAGAGATCTCTTCACCGTAAAAAGGGGAGGGGCAACAGGGCGGACGAAGTCGGCTGGGGGCCAGGAATCCCGAGTGTTATTCGAGGATGCGCAGAGGACGGTGCGCCGCGGATTGTCACACACTAGACCCTGACGTGCTGAGGGCACGGGACCCTCAACCCCACCCCCACGAGTCAAGACACACAAGGTTTTCAGTTTCATCATCTTTCGAAATCACTTCGGCCATAAAAAGGAGACGGGAGTGTGCCAGGCGATACCACTGAACCGCCAGGGAGGAAGAGAGGGTGCCTGTCCTGGACCGGGGACTGAGGGGCTGCGGCGACAGTACCATGGCAAAAGACCCCCTTCCCCCGGGGGCAGGAGTATTGCACTGAGCCAAGTGGTGGAGGGAAGGAGGCGGAGGGAGGGAGAGGGCAGAAACTGGGCGGGGCCACACGGCAGCTTCCACCTCCTCTGTCTTGGAGAAAATGCCGTTTCGCTTTTCACAGTACAGTCATCACTGTCCACTTCCTCAGGGAGAGTGGCCGTCGGAGAAACAATCCAGGAGAGGGGGGCATGCTTGCCAAGAGGGTATTTACAGAGTTCTCTCCTCCGGAGGACGGGAACCCATGGGGGTATCCAGGGGGCCTTCCTCAGGAGCCAGCGCAAAGCAAGTTCAATAACCATCATAAATAGATCTTCTCGTTCCCTCGCCCCTGAATAACAGGGGGATGCCACCCTTGGCACCATCTGAGGACCACTGGAGCATCCCTCTGACAGTTCTCTGCAAAGCAACAAAAAGGCAACCAACAGGGCTGCAGAGGAATGGTGGTGACTCGCACACAGGAATGTCAGTATACCAACAGAGGGCTGCAGGTGCCTCCCAAGAGGGGGCCCGATTCCCGCGGTGAACCTCCAGGCAGCCCTGCAGGGAAGACCGCGGGCCCACACTGGCTGCTGCCCTCATCGGCTGTACAAGAGTATGACCAAAGGTCCTGGTGGCCGAGGATGCCATGGAGACCGTGCCCGTTGCTCCTGGGTCATCCTCAATGGGGACCCCCACCATGGCCTTTGGCGCCAGGCCTCTGGGCAGGGAGGGGACTCTGGGGTTTGGGCAGGGGCACCAGTGAAGGGCATTTGAAACGATGCAGCCTCTTCACCGCCAAGGTCCAAGCTGAGCCCTTGGACATCCGCACACTCCAGCACAAGGGGGCAGTTGCCCCATCTCCCCAGGGGGCCTGCAGTCTTCAGGGGCAGGGCCTGAACGGTGGACCCTTGCAAAGCCTTCCTCCGGCAGGAGGGAGATGACACAGGCTGCCCTCACTGGGGCACCAAGCAGGCTGTCTGATGGGTCCCCGGAGGCATGGTGGCTGCTAGTCCCAGAGGGGGTCAGCCATGGGAGCTTCCTGTCCTGGTTGAGATGTGGGGTGTGGAACCTGCGTCCCTGTTGTCCCTGTCCCACTTTGAGGGGAGAGGCCCCTGTGGATGCTGAGGAAAGGGACAGGGAGGGACCAGCACTCCACAGAGCTTTAGAACAGAGCTTAGAAATCAAACTCCTGGATTGGCAGGTCCTCCAGCTGTCTACACTGGGCTGTGCTGGTGAGAACCTTCTGGAAGCTCCTCATCCAAGCCCACTACTGGCTCTGTCCATGCAAGGCTTCCAGAGTGAGTGGGGTCTGCCCCACAGGCCAGGAGGAAACATCATCAGCGTGCAATCTCTCTGGAAATCTCCAGGAGAGAACAGGGTAGGGGTAGGGAGCTCTGGAGACTCTTGGCCCGACCAGCGACCAGCACTTGACGCGAAAGGCTGTGACTTCACTGAGCCACGAGGAGGTGCTGCCCTTGTGGAAGGCAGGCGGAGGCCAAGAAAGCTTTCTGTCAACCTTCTCCCCTCCTCCAGGCTGCAAGGGCAGCCATGGTGCCGAAAAGAGAACAGCGCCCTGCCTGCCTCTCGCTTTCTGGTCCCTAGGCCCACCTCGGGGGACCACAGGAGTCTTGGTGGAGCCCTGGAGGCAGGACCTGGCCCCTTCTGCAGGATACCCTCCACCTCTGGAGGCCCCGTGTGTGCTGAGGCCTGCCAGCCATGGCCCCCAAGTGGGGAGAAGGGAAAGTCCACAGCCCTGAGCTCCACTGGAGGGGTGGCCCCCATGGCAGGAGGAGGGCCAGGCTCCCTGATATCCACACGCCCCAAGGCCTCTGGTTGCAGCCTTCTGGCGGGTCTTCGTCACAGGGTCCCCTGGGAAGGGTGGGGGACACTCCACGCTGTCGCTAAGGACGGATGCGCCATGCTGAGGCCCCACACCTGAGCCAGGGTTGTGTCATGTCTGCTTGTCCAGTGTGCCTTCTGGACAGGACGAGGGGAGGCCTCCAGGGGCTGTTCCCACACAGAAGGTGAGACCCCAGGGGCTTTCAACTTCCACACATGCCATCCTGGTGGCTAGAGGCAGAGTGGGCTCCTTGGAGGGGCCGCAACAGGCGGCCACCGCAACAGGTGCGCCCAGTGGGGCCCTGGCTCCCCTGCGTCAGCCTCAGGTGTGACTCCAGCCATGACTGGGCCCCGGGTGCTGTCCTAGAAGCCAAGGGGGCCAGCCACACCCAGCGGGAGCCACAGGCTCGTGGAGTGGGCATTTCCCTTTTCTGTGTTTTGTCTTTTTTCCTTAAAAAGCACCCACGTGCTGGTGTCTGTGCAAAGAGTGAGGACCCAAAATAAATCCATGATCCCAGCGTGGGGGAGCTCACAGCATCGCAGGTGCAGGTGTGGGTGCTGGGGGTCTGGTGGGGCTCGCCCGGTCGCACCGCAGACCTGGGAGCTGCCGGGTGGGGAAGGGGCTCGGCTGCCGGCATCCATCCGGAAGGGAGGACGACAGGGGCTCTGGGGGTGGTCGTGCGAGGCCCTGTGGGCGGCGGGCAGGCGTCCCCAGCGCTCCGGCCTGAGATGAGCAGGCAGCGGCTCCAGGCAGTAGCCAAGGTTGCGGCGGTCGCTCGGTTCTGGGTGGGAGTCTGCATAGAAATTACTGGAAAAGATAAGAGGGGGCTGGTGAAGGTGGGCAGGAAGGCTGGTGCACGGAGCTCCACCCCTGCTGGGACCCCCAAAGCTGCACGGCCAGGACTATCTTGCCCCCCTGACGCCAGCACCCGTGTGGCCTGGTGCCCAGGACCTCACCTTTCTGAGCTAGGGCTGGAGAACCGACACAAACCTCCCCTCCAAAAAAACCCCAGCAGAGCCCACGTGTCAGAGCAGAGCGCATGCCACGGGGTTCTCAGTAGCTCCTTTTTTGGAAGTAGATCACCAGGCCTTTCTTCCAAGTGCCTCTGGATGGACTCAAACCCCATCCTTTAGGTTAGCGGTTGAGCGATTCACCGTGTCCACCCAGGGACTCCTGGGTACTCACCGCATGGCCACCACGGCGCCTAAGGAGCCCGAGCTACTAGCATCCTCCCTCCCACCTCTGCTTCCCCACCTGCCACCTGGGGTGTCTAGGGCCATGCCCTGGGCTCCCTGGCAGAGGCGAGTTGGTGAGCATGGGCCAGGCTGCCATGCCCAGGCGGCCGCCACGCCCTGACTTACTGTGTCGCTCTCGCCGTCGGAGGCCGGCTGGGCCTGCGTGCTATAGTGGAGCGGGGAGTACACCCAGCACCTCTCGTCGGTGGGCTGCGGGTGGGCGGGCGGGCAGGTGGCACGTGCAAGAAGAGCAGGCGGAGAGCGGGGTGTGAGGAGCGCGAGAGTGAGAGAGAGGAGGAGGAGGAGAGAGCAGAGGAGAACATCAAAGAGGCCGATCCCCCCATGGCCCCGCTCCCCGACGGCGAGCCTGCCCCCCACCTGGAACAGCTGTGGGCTCGGCAGGAACAGCAAGGTGACAGTGCGGGGTGGCAGTGGGACACGCAGGGAGGCAGTTAGTCCAGACAAGGTGGGCGGCACGGCGGGTGGCGCAGCAGGCGGCAGAGGCGGGAGGCGGGCTTGCTGCGTGCTCCCCCCACCTCCCCTCTCCCTGGTCCTGCCTGACCTGCTGGTACCGTAGGGGCGCAGGGCAGCCCCAGAGAGGCCCAGCACCCCTCCTTAGGGGCAAGCAGAGTGCTGAGGGCCCTTCTGTAAGCAGGACCCTTGGCTGTGGGGTACGACCGACCTCCAGCTGCCTGCTGCCCAGCTGGGACAGGCACTATCTAGGCCCCTCTGCCTGCCCAGCTCCGCCTGGGCACCTGACAGCAAGCCGGCGGGAGGCCCGGAGGGGCCAGTGGCCTCTCTCCACCTCCCGAGAGCCCAGGAGAGACCTCTGGGGCAGCAGGTGTGTCCAGGCCTAGGGCAGCCAGGGTGGGTCTGAGCTTCCACATTTGGGATGGGTCTCATTTGGGGAGGGAGGTCAGGAAGGGGACACATGTCCCCTCCTCCCCCTTCCTGACCCCTGCGAATGTCCCCAGGTCACCTTCCTGTCACCATCTGACCTCCCCTGCCCTTCAAGGGGCAGATACTTGGGAGCTGCCATGCTGGCCCAGCCTCTGCTTGAGGCATCAGGCCTGAGCATGCACCCTCCCATGGCCAAGTCCAGCGGTGCGCCCATGGCCCCCAGCCCACCCCCATCTGCAGAAACACGCACGTCCCCACACTCGCCTGCACGGCCATGAGGCCAGCCGCCGCCTTCTCCCTTGCCTCTCATGATCTGTCCCATTGCTGAGATCTGTCCCAGCTCCCTAACTACCCTACCTGCCAACGCTGGCTCTTCCCAACCCTCTGGGGGTGCCCAGTGCCGGCCGTGCCCTTTCTGTGGTCCTCAGTTGGGCCACATGGAGAGTCACTGCCTGGCTGCTGCCTCTTGCCCCACGATGGCTCCCCTGGCCTCAGAAGCCTCTCACTGCTTGGGGCCTGCTCAGCCACTTTCAGCAGTCAGATTCGGTAACCATGTGTCTGCACCACGGGTGCCCAGCAGAGGGGCCCAGACCTGCCAGGGCACATCTGCTTGCCTGTGGCTCCCAACAGGTCCCGTGGGTCCTCAGTGCTTGACCACAAATGCAACTAAAGACCAGATGGCGGCAGGACGGGTCACCTCCCCACCCATCAAGAAGGCCAGGAGTGGCCGCCAAGGCAGTAGGTGCTCAATACTGCTGGTAAGTGTTCCAGGGCCTCAGTGGGCCACCCGGAGGTTTTGAAAGGAGGGCCTCAGCTCTTGCACAGAGCTGGCTGTGGGGAGGGTGGCTGTGACTTCCGCTGGCCCCTGGCGACGGCAGTGACCACGGGACCTAGCCAGTTGTTGGTGTTGGGTGTCGTTAAGTTGATTGGACTCGGGATAACCCTGTGGGACAGAGCAGACCTGCCCACGGGGGTTGCTAGGCTGTCATTTCTATGGAGCAGATCGCCAGGGGCTAAATGGCTGCACCGAGCTTAGGGAGGCTGCTCAAATTCTCTCCTGGATGGGGTGTCTGACGGGGTACAGGGGAGCCCAGGCCTGCCTCCACAAGCAGGGCAGCTGCTCCTGGAGATGGACCACTGGCACTCTGGGCCCTTTCGCTGCAAATCAGTCCACAGGGCACACGGCCACACGGGCTGGGCCAGGGTGGGCACAGGAACCCCGTGAGTGCCAGGCTCATGGTCACATCCCCCCTGGCCAGGCCCCCCCAGCCCCCTTACCCTGCCCCCAGCCCCCGTGTCCCTGCATCCCCTCCACCAATGCCGCAGACTGCCCGCTCCAGACACAAGGAGACACGTCTCAAAGTCCCTGCCTGGTCTGGGAGGAGCTGCAGTGACCTAGCCCTCAGCCACTCCCCACTAACCCCCCTTGGGGTGGCACTCCACGAGGCTTGCTGATGCGCCTCATCTTCATGGTCTCTATCTGCTCGTGTCGCTGCTCCCCTCACGGTGGAGCTCGAGGCAGTCCCTCAACCTCTTTGGGCTGTTTCCTCATAACTACGAGCAGTGACAGTGGGACACTACTCCACACCCACATGGCATCCTGGGCTGGTGCATGTCTGCGAGCGAGGGACCGAGCCCTCAGTTTCTACATCCATGAAATGGGTACTAACACCACAGGCTCCAAGGTTCGTCTAGACAGAGCCCGTGTGGGAGTCCCTGAGCTGCCCCATGCGATCGTCCTCATACAGGGGAAACGCCCCCTGGGGAACCACGGGTGGCAGCAAGGCCTGAAGAAGAGGCGGCCAGGTGTGGCCACGTCCCGCCCCTGGCACTGGACTGCCGGGCCATGGGCAGGTGGGTCAGGGCTGGGGCCTGGAGGGCAAGCTGGGGTCAGAGGCAGACCCCATGCTGGGCCTTGGCTCGCAGCCTCTGCTGGGAGGTGCAGGACGCACCAGGGTGCTCACTTGGAGGTGGTTCAGGATGGGAAACGCTGTCCTATACAAGTACGCATGCATGCGGCACTGGGCACCTATTCTGCCAGCCACATGATGAGTTTCCAAAGCCCCTTCAAAGACCAGGGACCGCTGGGCAGCGCACTGAGGGCCGGGGCCTGGCGCTTGCCCTGCCTGGGACGGCCGCACCCCTTGTCCCTGGGGTGGCCGGCGGGTCTGGCGCCCCAAGGCTGGCTGCGGTCACTTACAGTCCCCGAGGAGCTCGGCGTCCCGGCCCGCAGGCGGCGATGGCGGGGTGAGTACATCCAGTACCTCCCATCCGTGAACTGGATGGCGGGGGCCGGGCAGGAGGAAGGAGAACAGAGGACAGAGGGTGAGCCAGGGGCGCCAGGCAGCAGACAGCGAGGAGGCGGGGCCGAAGCAGGGATGGGTGGCTCTGCCTGCAGCCTTCTCCACCTGCTCAGATGCACGTGAAGGCCAAAGCTAACTGACCACAGGAACCAAGCCCAGGAAGGGGAGATATGGGGAAGGGCGGTGGGGATGGAGGGGGGTGGGGATGGAGGGTGGGTGCTTGGGGTGGGGGGAGCACATGGAAGAACACAGCTAGGAGCCGGTGGGCTGAGCGTTGGGCCCCCCGCCCGGCACCTGAGCACAGGGAGCAGGCTGTTAGTGTAAAGCAGCGAGGCAGTGGCCATGCTCGCCATAAAAGTCCCCGAGCTAGAGGCCAGGAGGCAGAGCCGGCCAAGCACCCCCACTGGAGTGCAGAGGTGAGGCTGGCCGGTCCACAGAGGAGGGGCACTGGCTTGTAGCACCTGGGGAAGTGACCTGAGGGCCCGCCATCGGTGACTCACTTGACTAGGCGGGGCCGGCCACCCTGGTCCCAGGCACCCACCACACCCCCAGGTCTCAGCTGGTCCCCTTCTGTGTCTGCCGGCGGGAGAGGCAGGAGAGCACAAGTCCTGCTCAGTCAAGGGCACCTTCTTGGCCCATGGCGCGGGCAGCAGGAGCCCACTTGCCCCATGTTCTTGGTCAAGTGCACCTGGCTTTCCGGAAGGTTCTCTGCCCTCCTAGTGGACAGAGCTCACCTGGTAGCTATACACTACCACAAACGTGACGAGCCCTGTCATTTTCACCCTGGAAATGGACCCTGGGGGCGGGCACCTTTGCTGGGTGGTGCGGGGCCTCGGGGGTACTGGGCCTGTGGGAGCGGCAAGAGGTTCCTCACACTGTGATATCCAAACAAGAAGAGAGAGGCTGGATGTGAACCAGTGAGTGTGAGTGTGTGTCTGAGAACACAAATGTGTGTGTATGTGCAAGTGTGAGCACATATGCCTGTGTGTGAACAGGCTGCAAACATGTGAGTGCCTATGCATAACTGTGTGAAAGTGTGTATGTACGTGCATATGAGCACTATGCCCAAGTGTGCGTGAGCACTGTGTGAATGTGAGCACTGTGTGCACGTTGAGTGTGCCTGCTATGTGCACGTGAGCACTGTGTGTACGCGAGTGTGAGCACTGTGTGTACGTGCTGTGTGCATGTGAGCCCTACACATGTGAATGTGTATGTCATGTGAGCACTGTGTGAATCTGAGTGTATGTGCATGTGAGCCCCGTGTACACATTTGTATGCGTGTGAGCACTATGTGTGTGTGCATGTGAGCAGTGTGCACGTGACCACTGTGTATATGTGTGTATGTACGTGAATGTGTGTGTATATGCATGTGTGACCATGTAAACTGTGTGTGTGTGTACCTTGAGTATGTAGGGGTATAACTGTACAGGTGTGCAAATCCGTATGTGCATGTGTCAGTGTGTGTGCATGCACATGTGAACATGTGTGTCTGGTCCATAGGGCCCAGCAATGGGAGCCGTTGTGGGACTTACGAAGTAGATGTCGGTCGCTGGTGCGTCATCCTCGTCCGAGGCCTGGCTAGCAGGCTCTGAGGCCTGGCTGGTGGTTTCTGCTTCCGCTGCGGCTGACGCACAGGCTGAGGGAGCCTCCACCCTGAGGACACGGTAGACAATGCTTGAGTCCAGGGCAGGGCTCTTGGCAGCAACCCCCTCCCCAGATCCCACCTGTGGTCCTCCCGGTTCCTCAATGCCCCAAGATAGTCCACAGGGGATTCAAAGTAAGATTTTACAGGCTATTTTGTTTAAATCAAAACTTAACATAATTAGAAACATGTACTAAGAAGATGAACAAAAAATTCTTAAGTTGTTGGAAGTTGAGAGACTCCTAAATAATTTTTGCCCCCCCCCCCCCTTGGCACTGCTCACATGGGGCCAGACTGTTCTCCGGGGACTGTTCTGTGCACTGTAGGGTGTTGAGCAGCATGACTGGTCTCTGCCCAGTAGCACTGCCCCCCTCCGTGCTGAGAACTACAAATGTCTCCAGATATCACCCATGGCCCCTGGGAGACAAAAATTGTCCCTGGTTGGTTGAGAACCACTGCCTTAGAATAAGAAAAAATTAAAATGAACATGACTATCCATAAGCTGTAAAAAGATGCACTACTTCACATCAAACCCTATGAGATGCAGCCAAAGTAGCACTCAGAGGAAAACACATTGCCTTAAAGGCCCTCCTCATTAAAGAAAGGAAAGAAGGAAGAAAATGAAGCACCCAGCCTAACCTAGGAAAAAAGAAATAAAATAAGCAGTAGGTGGTAGAAGGAATTACTGAAGAGTTGAAAAAAAAAAACACAACAGAAGAAAGAGGAACAAAACCCAGACATCATCATAATTTCTTGCAAGTCCGATAAAGGCTAAGTAAGAGGGCAGAAGAGGCCGACAGGTAACCGACGAGAAGAATCCTAAGATTATTGCTATTAGTTGCTAATCTGGCAGTGCATCTGGAAATCTACAGGAAGCACCATTTCCCAGCCCCCCTGTGATCTCCAATAACCTGCACCTTCTTTTCTCCTTCTCAAGTTAGGAGCCCTGAGGTTTACCTAAGGCTGCCTAGAGTGGACTACATTTTCCAGCCTGCCTTGCTCCCAAGTGTGCCCATGTGACTGAGCCTGGCCAATGGGGTCGGAGTGCAAACTGTCTGTATTCTGATCCCCTTTGACAAGAGGGTGGTTCTCCTCCCCTTCTGCTGGAGGGAATGAGGAAAATGGTGGTGAGGGGCACCTAGGAGTTTGAGGACGGGGAAGATCATGGGAGGGAGCAAGGAGGCAGAAGGGGCTTGGACCCCTGTCACTGTGGAGCTGTTCAAATCCCTGGATGATTGAGAGCTGGTTTCCTCCTCTTGCAGGGACCAGGCCTGAGGTGGGGAAGTGGCCTGGGCAGCGGGGATGACAGCTGGGGCCGAGCGGGCCGGGACAACAGGGGTCAGGGCAGGGCTGCTGGCTGCTTACCCTGCAGCTGCCTCCTTGGGGACCACGATCTCCACGCTGCACGTGGGCTCCACCTGCACCGTGATCTGCTGCAGGTCCTCCTCCACAGGCACCTCCTCCTGAGGCCTGAGGGCAGTGGGCACGTGGGCACTGTGCACGTGTGTGCATGTACAGGAATGTGTGAGGGTGTATGTGTGTGCCCATGTAAACGGTGTATGTGAGTGTGTACCTTGAGTATGTAGGAGGGTGTGACTGTACAGGTGTATGCAAGCCCATATGGGCATGTGTGTCAGTCAGGGTCCCTCCTCGACCCTCCACCCTGATCCCCGGTTGCAGGAAAGCCCATGTGAGGTGCTGTGTGTGGCCACCCCTTGGCCAGCACCCTGAGCTTCCTCAGGTTGAGCCTGGTCTCCTCCAGCTGTTACACCCAGCCCAGGACTGCAGGGCACAGGAACCACCCGTCTGGGGCCCATGACTGGACAGAGCAGGAAGCCTAGGGGAGGGGGAGTGAGAGGAGGAGACAGGGCAGGGGAGCCTCACCGGCCATCGTGTCCCGAGGACTGAGTACGTCGCCTGTGGAGACAGAGTGGGTGAGGGGAGAGCACGCCTCACCCAGCGCCACCGGCCTCCCCCCACGTGCTCCTGCCCAGGGAGGCTGCAGATGTCAGGAGCCCTGCGGCCTCTTGCTCACCTGTAGCGCGGCTGCTCTGACGTCTCAGAGGGTGACCGCTCGGGAATGGAGAGGGAGGTGGATGATAGGGTTGTGGCAATGGAGGCGGTAGTGGCTTCTTCAAAGGAGGGCGGCGTGCAGGGCAGCAGGTCGGGCCGGCCTGCGGAGGGGACCGGACGCTCAGCACCACACCAAGGCCCAGTGTTCTGCCTTCACACACGGCTCACCCATGCTGCCCACAGCCCAGCCCACCAGCAACTGCCCTTCCTTCTGCAAACTTGGTGGCACACTGCCCCGGTCCCTCCACACCCACAGTCGTCAACACCAGGGCTGGAGGGAGCTGCCAGGGCCGCAGGCAAACACTTCACCTGTCTGGCATCTCAGCACCCCTCTGTGGCAGGGGCTGTGGCCGCCCCGGTGGTGCCTTCAGTGCTGGTTTCCCTGCCCCGGGCCCGGGCTTAGCTGCCCCACGCCCTGGTGGCTCTGCAGACCCTATGAGGCGTGGTTACCTTCATCCTCTAGCGTGGGGTAGCTGCGGGCCCCCCGCAGGTCGTACTGAGCCTCCTCCCGCTCACTGGGGATCTGGCTGGCTGAGAAGGCAGCCGTGGGCCCAAGGGGCTTGACGGCCAGCAGGGCACCACGCCCCTTCTTGGACGGTGAGGACTTCAGGGCTGTGGAGGGAGGGTGGTCAGCACCGGCAGCCCTGGGACAGGCCTCGCCCACATGGGGGGCTGCTTGCCTCACTTTATGCTGAGAAGGGAACTGAGATATGAGACAGGAGTCGCCAGCCTGCAGTCACATAGCAGGACGGGGCAGAGCGGCACTCAAGCCCAGACAGCCTGGCTCCAGGGCCCTGGATCACGCCCACCAGGGCTAGCACTGTGAAGTCACCACTGTCCTACGAGGCACGGCTGGCAGTCAGGGAGGCCCCGAGCACCCCCACAGCCTCGAAGTCACACAAGCAGCGGGACAGAGACCCTTGGCCTCCCCAGCCTCCTGTCTCCACCCTAGGTCGTGCCCAGCGATGGGGCTCAGGTGACTTACAGGAATTCTTCCGGAAGACCGTGTTGCTCATGAACTTGAAGAAGCGCTCAGCATAGAAGCTGGGGCGGTGGACGGAGACTGTGTCCTAGAAGGGAAGCAGGGGGTGTGGAAGGTGAGAGGATGCAGGGCCACATGGCTGTCACCCCCCCCAGTGTCTCGGCACCCTTCCCTGATGACGTTCCTGCACAAGCTGTCTCATTTCACATCCATCACGTCCTTTTCCCAATCCCCTCCCCGAGCCCTATCCCTCCATCACTCTTGCTCAGGGAGCCAAGCTGCTGGGAGGACACAAGGCACAGCGCTGGGCCGGATCCCTGGGTGCCGGGCCAGAGAGGGGTACCTTCTATCCAGAAAGGGGCGGGGCAAAACTATAGAGATGGAAAGCGACTGGGGGCCCTGCGGATGGAGTGCTGGGCACTCTGAAGGCAGTGAGACAACTCTGCATGGGGGCATACGATGTCATGCATTTCTCAGAACCCACAGGGCTGGGCAACACCAAGAGTGAATCCCAAAGAAAACTATGGGTGTGGCTAACAGGGATGTGTCGATATTGGCTCCTCAGCCACAGACAATGGACAACAGGGATGCAAGACACAGCCCCCACCCATCTGTCCACAGAAGCCTGAGTGTTGCTAGGAAGCTGAGCAGGTTTCAAGCGGCTTCCAGACTCAGACAGACTAGGAAGAAAGGCCTGGAGCTCGACTTCAGACAACTAGCCTATGAAAACCCTGTGAATCACAAAGGTCCAATAAGCAACTGATCACGTGGGGGAGGCAGGGGGCAGTGCTGGACTGAGCTGCGTTCCGTTAACGTTGTGTGGGGCCGACTCCACGGCAATGAACGATAGCAACATTAATAATGGGGGGGGGGCAGGCAGCGTGCGGGGGTGGGGTGGGGAGGAGGATGTGGGCTCAGGTGCTGCTCAGTTTTCTGTAAATCCCAAACTGCTAAAAATTAAAGTCTGTTAGAATAAAAAGTAAGTGTCATGGCTAATATCTCTCAAGAAAAAGGAAGGAAAAGCCAAGCACAGCATGTGAGGGTTGTTGGAAGGGGGTCCAAGATCTTAGCAGAGATCAGGGGCTGCTGCCTCCAGGGAGGAGCTGGATCGTGGGGACAGGGTGAGGAGGCTTGTTTGACTATGTGGTCGCCCCTTAGTATCTGCAGTCCCCAGCACTAAGATCCACAGATGCTTGAGTCCTGTGTATAACATGGCACAGTATTTGCACATACCTAGGCAGCCCCCCGTGTTTTAAACCATCTCTAGATGACTATAAGTCATATATGCTATGAGATCATCACTTCACACTAGGAAGCCTTGGAGGGACTGCTCTGACCACTTAAGTTGTTTCCCTGTATTTTTTATGTGTGATCTGTGAGTAAAAGAACCATTCAAGGAAGTAAATGAATAAGTTGCTGGTGGCGTTATTGAGGGGATTTTGACTCATGGTGACTTCATGTGACAAAGTAGAACTGCCCCCTAAGATTTTCTAGGCTGTCATCTTCATGGAGCAGAGTGCTGGGTCTTCCCTACATCACCACGGAGTGGGTTCAAACCGACCACCTTGTGGTGGATATTAACCATGTGCCACCAAGGCTACTTAAATGACCGAGTGTTGTTGTTGTTGTTTGCCATTGAGTCGGACCCGACTCATAGCGACCCCTCCTTGGGTTTCCAAGGCAGTATCACTACGGAAGTAGATTGCCCCATCTTTCTTCCGAGGAGTGGCTGGTGGGTTTGAACTGCCAGCCTTCTGGTTAGCAGTCAAGTGCCTTAGCTACTATGCTACCAGAGCTCCCAAATGACTGAGTAGAGGTTAAAAATTAAGAAGCCTTCTAATTTAGGACCTTGCAAACTCAGGCAGCTGTCTGCTTTGTAAGTAAAGTTTTATTGGCACACAGCTGTGTCCACTCCTTTAAGGACCTTCCCAATACAGATTCTGGAAAATCCTGTCTAGGATCTCCAAAGCCTCCTCTGAGGGGCCAGGAGGGGGAGTGAGGGGTGGTTTGGTGGGACCTTGGATTCTGCAGACTGTAGCCGCACAAATATTCCTCAACACTTTAATAAGAGATAGCATGGTGCTGTCCTCCGGTGCTTGTAGCTGGTTGGGGGTGGGGCCCTTCAGCGGGGCGTGGTCTTGTGCCCTGAGGCTGGAACCAGCTGGATAGGGCTCATGGCTGGCTTGGGCTCTGGCTGCAGATGGTACCAACTGTTTGGCCCACACAGTGTCGGCCCTCGCATGTCTTTTAAGTTTTAAAGAACAGGTTGCCAACATTTACTGTAACATTTACATGCTGATTTAGTTTTTCTGGGAGAATTGAGAAGTTCTGGCCACGATGGGCCCAAGTCTCCAAGCCGAAACAGTCAGAGATGAGTGGTACTGTCCCCTGAATGGGGTGGATATCTTCTAACCAACCACAGTGCCCACAGGCCCCCATCCCATATTCTGGAATGGTGTTTGGTGGCCTGGCCCCCGACATATGTGAATACAGACATACCATGGAGACACTGGCGGGTTTGGTTCCAGACTACCGCAATATAAAGCAAGTAAGTACTGCAATAAAGCAAGTCACAGAAACTTTTTGGTCTCCCAGTGCATGTAAAAGTTATGTTTACACAGTATTGTTGTCTATGAAGGAGCTCTGGTGGCACAGCAGTTACAGCACTCAGCTGCTAACCCCAAGGTTGGCAGTTTGAACCCACTGGCTGCTCCATGGAAGAAAGATGAGATCTGCTTCCATAATGATTGACAGCCTTGGAAAGCCTCTGAGGCAGTTCCTCTGTCCTCTAGGGGCGCTGTGAGTCAGAATCTACTCCAAGGCAGTGGGTTTGGTTTGGGCTTTGTTTCCGTGGAGCTCTTGTGGTGTAGTGCCTAAGACATTTGATTGCTACCCAGAAGGCTGGCGGTTCAAACCTACCAACCACTCCTTGCAAGGAAGGTTGGGCAATCTACTTCCGTAGTGACACTGCCTCGGAAACCCAAGGAGGGGTCGCTAAGAGTCAGATCCGACTTGAGAGCAATGGGTTTGCTTCTGTGATTGACAGCCTTGGAAACCCTGTAGGGCAGTTCCACTCTGTCCTCTAGGGGGACTGTGAGTCAGAATCGACTCCCAGCAGTGGGTGTGGTTTGGGCTTTGCTTTTGTGAAGATTGACAGCCTTGGAAACCCTGTGAGGCAGTTCCACTCTGTCCTCTAGGGGCACTGTGAATTGGAATCGACTCCACAGCAGTGGATGTGTTTTTCGGTTTTGGTTATATTCCAGTTTGTTGGTTCACGAAGTAACCACAGGCAGTTGGAAAAATGGCACCAATAGACTTGCTTGTAAAAAACGCAGTAGCTACAGGGTGCGATAAAATGAAATATGCTTGTAAACTGCTCCTTGGGAATCCTGCCAAACTCAGCCTGGGGGTCTGCTCCTCCGGGAAGTCTTCCCTACCCCTCTCTGAACGGGCAGGCCCAAGTCTCCTCCTGGGCTGCCTGCAGCTCTGCTTCTTGGCCATGACTGCTGGGGGTGCTGTGGCCACCTGGGCAGGGGACCCCCATGGCACAGCACCTCCAGGAGAGGGCAGAACGAATGAATGAGTGAATGACGCTCACCCCGTCGTGGACGAGGGCCTTCCAGGTGTGTTCCAGCTTCTTGATGAACCTGCAGAGAGAAGCAGTGTCCAGCACATCAGCCCTGCCCCCTGGTGCGGGAGCTCTCACCCAGGAAGTTCTGGCCTGAAGAGGGGGCGATGTCTGGGGCCACTGTGGGGTGTCACAATTGGGGGGGGTGCGACTGGCATTGAGTGGGTGGAGGCCATGGATACTGCTCAATACCCTACAGTGCACAGGACAGCCCACCCCAGATAAGGATCCAGGCCCGATGTCAGCTGTCAGGGAGGGACCCTGATCCGAAGAAATGAGGCCTGTTGGCAGCTCGGCCAAAAGCCCAGCTTCCTCCTTCCTGTCTCCCCCTTCCTGCCCCACAGCTCCCGCCACCACCGCCCTGGGGAGGAAGTGGGAGCACATGAGCTTAGCCCTCCTGGTGGGGACAAACAGGCCGAGGCCTTCCCAGAGTGCCCTTCCCTTCCTCTGTTCCCAGCCCAGGCTGTGTCCGGTTCCTGTTGCTGCAGGAGTCTGCCTACAGCATACCTGCTGTTGCAAGAATACCTCCTCCTCCAGGCAGCCTCCCTGGGTGCCCCTTAGTTAGGGGTGGGGCAGGGGGAGGGAGGGGCGCCAGTCAGTACATACCCCCACGAAACCCATCCCTGGGGTGTGCTGGGCACCCTGCCCTGTGCATCCCCATCTGGGGCCCTCGGCAGAAACAATGGATTGGCACTTTTCACAGAGGACACTCACTGCAGGGGACAGGGCCCGTTGAGGGGCAAGAGACGCAGTGGGACAGTGATAGTACGATCAGAAGGAGCCCACTTTTACATGAAAAAAGAAGGAGCAGGAGCAGAAATCACCAAATGCCAAATCCTAATGTCCTTTCTGGGGTGGGGGGATGTGGACGGAGTGGGCCTTCTGCCTTGACAGCCCATCCTTCTAACATGTCCCAATAAGGATGAAAAACGTTCATTGTCGTGAGCTTGCAAAGTGTAAGATGTGAATGACGAGGTCACCTATCACCCCAAATTTAAGCAGCATTACCAGTAGGAACCACCACCTGTCTGTCAGTTCTGTCATACTATGGGAGGCTGTGTGTTGTTGAGACGGAGGAAGCTATGCCACTGGTATTTCAAATACCAACAAGGTCACCCAAAGTGGATGGGTTTTAGCAGAGCCTCCAGAATCAGCCAGACCAGGAAGAAAGGCCTGGCCATCCACTTCTGAACCTGAGCCAGTGAAGACCCTGTGGATCCCAACAGAACACTGCTGGATCCGGTGCTGGATCTGGTGCTGGAAGAGGAGCCCCTGGGCTGGAAGGCACTTGAAATACACAGTAGCTGCAACCATGGGCTTGAGCAGCCCAGTAACCGTGCAGGTGGCACAGGGCTGGGCAGGGCTCTGTTCTGTGTGCATGGGGTCACCACGAGTCAGAGCTGACCTGAGGGCACCACCCCCACCACCAGGAGCCCTGACAGCACGGTGCCTAAGGCACCTGACTGCTAAGCAAAAGGCTGGCAGTTCAAACTCACCAGCACTGCTCGGAAGGAAGGTTGGGCAATCTACTTCCGTAGTGATACTGCCTCAGAAACCCAAGGAGGGGTCGCTATGAGTCGGGGCCGACTTGAGGGCAAATAACCACCACCACCACCACCACCACCACCACCACCACCACCACCAGTGGGACTGGGGGTCTGTTCCTTCCAGGCTTTTCCATACATGTCTCCCATGTGGGAAAGAACACGGCACACACTATTAATCGAGATACAGGTCAGAGTGTTTCTGTGTGCAGTAAACACTTCAGAGGTGGCTTCCTTCACAGCCGAAAGCACCCGCCTTGTTCTCGGGCGTGCAGTAAACTGAAACCAAACCTGCAGCTGTCAAGGCGACTCCCGCCTTAGGCCCACACCCTGGGTGTCAGAGCACAGCTGGGCTCCAGGGGGTTTGTAACGGCTGATCTTAAGGAAGTAGACTGCCAGGGCTTTCCAATTCTGGGTGGACTTGAACCTCCAACTTTTTGGTCAGCAGCTGAACACTCAATGGTTTGCAGCACCCTGGGACACAGTAGGTGCTCAACAAACACAGCTGTGTAAGAGAATGCTAGCCCACTGATCGACACTCTGGACCTGGATCCTGATCAAAAGGGGTAAAACTGTGGAACAGAATTTGGAATTCTCATGGAATCCAGATTTTCTGGAGCCCTAGAGGCTAGATGAACTCCTAAAACTGCTGTCCTGAGATAAAGTCTTTAAACCGCAAACCAAAAACATCCCCTGAAGTCTCCTTTAAACCAAATGATAGTTTAGCTGAACTGGTAAGGAGTATCTACCTTGAGCAGTGTGCTCTGTTAAGATCTACTGCTGTGGGATCAAACTGACAACAGCAACTTGCAAGGTGCGATGAGGAGCTTAGGGGCCATGAGCTTATGCTGATGGGGAGGAACAGTAAGAGAAAGAAGGGACAGTGGCTGCACACCCTGAAGACCGTCGTCCACGTCACTGAATTGCACAGGGAGAAACTCTGATTGGTGTGTGTTCTGCTGGGTAGATTCTCAACAACAAATAATGAAAATAAATGAGAAACTACCTGTCCCCCGCCACATGGTGGGTGTCATACGATCACCCACCTGACACACCTGAGCACCTCGACTGTAATGGTTTTGGCACATGGAACTGGGATGGTGATTTCTGAAATGTTCTCTAGAAGTGAGGTCCCTGGGGTGAGGGTTGTTATGGGGTGAACTGTGTCCCTGAAAGAGAGATGACAAAGCCTAATCCTGGTACCTGTGAGTGTCAACTTGTTTGGAAAGAGGGTGTACCTGTGAGTGTCAACTTGTTTGGAAAGAGGGTGGTCGTGATGTCATTTTAAAAAGACATCATTTTAACATGAAGCAGGGGGCCCTAATCCAAGATGAGGGTGTCCTCAGAAGGGCGAGCAGACAGACACACACACAGGGAAAGCACCAGGTGAAGATGGGGCAGAGACTGGAGCGATGCGTCTACAAGCCCAGGGACGCCAAGGGTCACCGGCAACACCAGGAGGAAAGAGAGTGGCCTGAGACAGGTCTGCCCACAGAGCCTCCGACAGCATGGCCCTGTGACACCTGATCTCACTTCGGGCCTCAGAACTGTGAGGGGCATGCTGCTGTTTAAGGCCATCTAGGACGTGACACTTTGTTACAGCAGCCACAGGACGCGTGCATGGAGCTCCAAAGGGAAGCCAAGCAGGCGCCTTCCAGAAGGTGAAGGAAGGTCTGAAGCAGAAGCTGCAAGTGTGGCTGTTTCCAGGGGGCAGGGTGGCCATGATGGCGGGTGCCATGGAGACACAGAGGCATGGTAGAGGGCAGGGGCAGGTATGCGGATCAGGGTCAGAGGCTAGGGTGCAGGGTCAGGGGTCAATGCCAGAGGTTGGGGAAAGGGTCAGAGCCAATGGCTGTGGCAGGGTCAGGGTCAGTGGTGGGGGTGGGGCCAAGGGGTCAGGGTGGGGTGGGGGTGGGCTCAGCACCCACCTGTAGGACTGCAGGATGTCGATGATGCCAATGTGCAGCAGCAGGCGCTCGCCGCGGCCATTCACAGCAGGGATCCCGCCCATCCTGAAGGAGAGTTCAAGAGGGGCGGTCAGCACCCACGGGAGGGTAGGGGCCATCTGCTGCGGGCCCAACTGCAGTGGGCTGGGACGGTGGTGGGCCAGGACCCCCTGTGTTGGGGGGCCATACCTAGCCCAGGACTCAGCAACAGGGAGACAGGGTGGGAGGGGAAGAGACAGGGAAGGAGGGAGCAGCAGGGAGTAGGGCCTTAGGAGCCTCCTCTGGGGGCTCAAGAGTCCATGCAGCCCCCTAAAAGCAACAACTTCGCTGGACCTGGGAGAGGATCTCGGCCCCTGGGAGCCCCTGCACCAGTGTGGGCTCCAAAGCTCCTCCCGGACCTCACGAGTCCAAAGCTGCAGATACTGGTACTGCCTGGGGTCTTATGTGCACACAGCCTCCTGCATGCACACATGTGCACACACACACTCCTGCATGAACACACACACACATGCACTCAGAGTGCATTCATGTACACGCACACTTATGCACACATGTGCAGTCACATGTGTATACATTCCTACACACACACGCACACTCCTGCATACATGCACATACAAGCACAAGCACGCAGATGTGCATTTGTGCACACGTGCACATTCATACATATACACTCGTACGTATGCACACACTCCTACATGCACACACACAAGTGCTTGTACACATGCATTCACACACATGTACACTGGGACATGCACACACACTTGTACACACATGCATGTTCTCACGCACATACAAACGTGCACTCCCGGGTGCACACGCGCTCCCGGCTGGGCCACCAGGAATTCTGGATGCAGCCTAAGGATTAATCACAGCGCTTGGCATCATGTCTGCACACGCCCCGCCCAGCAGGTTAGTGAGGTCACACCTCGGCGGCCACCCTGAGACCACCCACTGGGTTTCACTCGCTCACTCCATGCAGTGCTCACCTGCGCCCCCAGCCTCTCCCTGCTGGGGCCCCGCTCAGACCCTACAAAGGCAGAGATGGTCTGAGGGTGGGCTGTGGCCACCTCACCTGATTCCTCTGCCTCCACAGCTCCCCTCTCTTAGCTTTCACCTCCTGGTCTGCAAATGGGGCGCTGCCACTTCCTCCTGCAGGCCCCCATGAGGAAGCGGGCCCCAGCCTGGCCCCTGGCTCTCAGCTAGGTGGCTAGGCCCCCGCTGTGCACTGTGTGCTTCTGCGTATGAGGGGCATGGGCCATGGCTGGGGGTGTTTGAGGAGTTGTGGGGGGGTGCTGGCATCAAGTAGGCGGAGGCCAGGGATGCTGCTCAACACCCTACGAAGTACAGGACACCCCTAAGGATCCGGGCCCCACGTCAGCAGTGCTGAAAGGGAACAAGCCTGAGTAATTACTTGATAAAATATCTGCGTCTGGTCCCTGCTTACGTGTGTACCAGAATAAGCTCCCAAGGGGTCAGACGGTGTAAACCAGGGGAGCCCCTGTGACTCCCTCCTCTCTCCTCCCCACTCAGTGTGTGGATTTAAATGTAGGCAGCGTCCTGGGACCTCAGGAGATCAGAGGCTTATGGGACACAGAGTCTCTTGAGGTCAGGGGAATCCCCTAAGTCCAGGGCCCTCATCTGGGTGATTCTGTGCCCGCAGAGGACACTGGGTGGTATGTGGGGACATCTGTGGATGTCAGAACTAAGGGGTGCTGCTGGCCTCGAGTGGGTGGAGGCCAGGGGTGCTGCTCAGCCGCTCCAGTGCCCAGACGGCCCCACCCCAGGGAGGGGCCCGGCCCGTGCCAGCAGTGCCAGCACTGCCAAGGGGCGGGAACCTTCAAGTCTATTTCCCTGGTGAAACCCAAGCCCTTCGAGGGAGGCGTCCAGCCCAGGGACAGCCCGGAAGCGTCAGCCAGTAGAACCACTGAGGGTTTTTCTCCTAACTCTATCGTGTCTCTGGTTTCCCACCTTTTATCTCTGTGGCAATCAATTTTGTAATCCTGCCCCTTTGTGGACTTTGGTCTTTGTACCTTGCTAAAAAAGGAAGCTTTCCCTTCCCCAGATCGTTGTGAGCTTGTCTGGTATTAACACGTCACACCATCACAGCTTTGCTTTGTGGGCACGGTAGTGGTCTGTGCGCCTCATCCACCTGCCGGTCCATCCAGCTGCCTCGTGGTTACATCCCCAGGCCTGGAACCACATGGACTTGCTCCTCTGACCCTCACAGTAGCCCAGGGACAAGGCCACTCTTCTGGTTTTACCGGTGAGACCAACAAGACACAGCGAACTTTCTGGACTCTGCCCTGATCTTGATCGACTGTGTGGCAGCCCTCCCTATTTTCACAGGTGTTAGGACCACACTGTGTCCCCAGAAACGTGTTGACTCCTTGGCCCTCAGAACCTGTAGAACGACCCTGTTTGGAAATAGGGTTTCTTGTGTCATGTTAATGAGGTCACCCCAGGGTGGGGGCCCCAACCCTATCCTTTCTGAGAAGCAGAGCAAACACGCAGATGCATGAGACATACATGCGGAAGGACAGACCACGGGGCACTTCTGGAGCCACCAACAAGGCAGGCCACCCCAGAGCCATGCTCCGGATTCTGACTTCTGGCCCCTTGAATTGCAAAAAGTAACTTCTGTGCTTTAGGGCCAACCACTCGTGGTGCCTTTGTTACGGCAGCACTGGGACACCAAGACACCTGGCCAAGGGAAAGGCAACCACCGAGGGACCAGGGCCTCTGGGGGACCTACACCCACAGTGGTGGTGGGCTGGAGCAGGCAGGCGTGCACACTTCGGCCGGGACACAGGCTAAGACGGGGCTGGGGCGGGGGACATTGGAAGGCCCTTGCCAGCCCCCCCCCACCCGGCACCTACGTGTCGTCCGTCTCGATGGCCTCGCCACGTGCAGCCCCACCCTGGATGGACTCCATGGCCGTGGAATAGAGCGCCTTCTGGCCCACGGGCCGCTTCTCGTCAGCAGTGCTCTGGGCGCCCTCGGCCTGGCGCTCGCGTTCCTGCTGGTCGATGTTGTGTACGCCCAGGAGCAGGCTGTAGTCCATGATCTTGAAGCTCTCCAGCACCTGCGGGCGGGGGACAGTCAGGGGGACGCGTGCTGCCCCCCACCTCGCCCCCCACCTCCTACACACCAATGTCACTGCGCTCTGCATCTGAGTGATCTTCATACCACCCCCCCAGGCCCCCGAACCCCCCATCATGATGCCCATTTTCACACAGCAGGAGGCCAAGGGCAGAGCAGGCAGCGGTAGGGGTCCCCTGAGACCACAGGCTCCTCCTCACCAGGCAGTCACGCTGCAGCGTCTTGACGAGGGCGCTGAAGGTGTCGGCGTCCAGCATGAGGCCCTCGGGCATGTCCTGGATGAAGTCCAGGTCCTTGTAGGTGGGGATGCTCTTCTCCTTCTCCTTCTTGCTGGCCCGCCGCTTGTACGTGGAGCCCTTGAGGTCAAACTTGAGGTGCATCTTGACCACGCGCGGCAAGATATTGTTCATCACCACCACACGGATGTTCTTGCCCCCCGACTGCACACAGTACAGCCCGTAGAACTTGGGCAGCAGCGTCCGTGGGTTCTGGTTGAGGTTCTGGGGGGTGGGGAGGGGAAGGGCGGGAGCTTCAGGGCCCCACACTCGGGCCCCCGCACAACCCACACATGCCAACCTGGCCCCTGCTAAGTCCCACCTTGGCAGTCAGGTGCAGGCCGCCACAGGAAGTCCTTTCTGGCCTCCCAGAGCACCCGACTTCACACAGCTGACAGCTCACTGAATACTGGAGGAAGTCCTTTCTGGCCTCCCAGAGCACCCGACTTCACACAGCTATGACGGCTCACTGAATACTGGTCTGCACTAGAAGGCCCAGGAAGGTCTATTCTACACAAAGCGGGGCCCAGGGGGATGGCCCTCCTGGTGGGCGGGGACCGGGACACAAGCGTACACGTGTACTTGCACACACGCACCCCCGTGCGAGCACTAGAACCCCCAGGGCTGAGGGACATCACAGGGGGCCGATGTGGTCTTCTCGATGTGAATCACTAGCACACGGGAGTGGGATGGCACTGACGGGCAGCTTGGGTGGCTGGGCCTTTGTGAGGCACCAGCTGGCGCCCGGCCCCTCCTCCCCCGCGCCTGAGTCACTGCCAGCAGAGCTGGAACCCACACCATGTGGCCTGAGACCCACAGATCACAAAGGGCATCCGGGGTGAGCACAGAGGAGGGCCGATGCCCAGCGTAGACCCTGCCAGGAGGTGGGCAGTTACTGCACACTTGACAGAGGAGCGCTCTGGTGGAAGGACCCCACTGGTGAGTCTCCAGTGACCAAGATCTCTCATCAGCCTGCCCAGCAAGGTGGGTCATTCCCTGGGGACCCCGTTTGTTCCTGCAGGTTTGGGGGGAGTTGGGGCCAAGCAGAGTTGTTCAGTATATGGAGGGGAGGGGCCACAGGCCAAGAGGAGCTACTCAGTGTGCAGAAGGAGCAGGGCCTGAGCTGAGTGGGCTGCTGTGCGTGTGGAGGGCAGAGGAGCTGGGCTGAGCGGAATCCTTGTGTGCGGAGGGGAGAGGAAGGCCGGCTGAGTGTGTGCGGAGGGGAGAGGAAGGCCGGCTGAGTGTGTGCAGGGGAGAGGAAGGCCGGCTGAGTGGAGCTGCTGTATGTGTGGAGGGAGGAGGAGCTGGGCGGAGTGGACTCTTTGTGTGTGGGGGGAGAAGAAGGCCGGCTGAGTGGAATTTGTGTGTGGGGGAGAAAGAAGTGGGCCTGCTGCAGCTGTTCAGCCAGCAGAGGGGAGAGGAAACTGGGCTGAGTGGAGGTGTTTAGTGTGTGTGGGAGGACTACCAGGGTTCCATCCCCGTGGAACTGCTCTGTGTCAGAGGGAGGTGGCAGTTGGGGTTGAGCAGAATTGCTGTGTGTGTGGAGGGAGGAGGGAGCCGGGCTGAGAGGAACCGCTGTGTGTGTGGAGGGAGGAGGGAGCCGGGCTGAGAGGAAC